GCCAGGCTTTGCGGGCAGAATTCGAAGTTCTGCAGATGCAGATTGGTGAATCTGTAGATGATTATTTTGCAAGGACAATGGCTATTGCAAACAAGATGAGGATCCATGGTGAAAATCCGGAGGACGTTGCCATAGTTGAGAAAATCCTTCGATCTATGACAACAAAATTCAATTATGTTGTTTGTTCAATTGAGGAGTCAAATAATTTTGAGGTTCTTTCCCTTGATGAGTTGCAAAATTCATTGTTAATTCATGAGCGGAAGATAAATCGCCAAGACAAGCAAGAGCAAGCAGTGCAGATCTCGCAGACACAAGCCTTGCAGACCATAGTTAATTCAAGGGCTGTAGGTCAAGGAAAAGAAATCTGGAAAGGCAGACCAAGATCTGGCAGACCGAAATCTGACAGATTGGAGGAAAGTTCAGCCACTGGAATTCAGAAGAGGTGGCAGAATAGAAATTATCAAGCTGCAGATAACAGATCCAAATCTACAGGAAAGGCAAATATTGAATGCTTCAGATGTCATAAGTATGGCCATTATCGTTCTGAGTGCCGTACTAATCTGAATAGAGGAGAAAGTTCCAATTTTGCAGAACACAATGAGAAGAATGACGATTCCTCTATATTAATGGTCTGTCATCCTAAAGAAGTCAGCAAGAAGAATGTGTGGTATCTGGATACTGGTTGCAGCAATCACATGTGTGGAGACAAATCTGCGTTTTCAGATTTGGATGAGTCTTGTCAAGACAAGGTGAAATTTGGTGATAATTCCACTATTGCAGTCAAGGGAAGGGGAAAGGTAACCATTCGTGCCAAAGACAATTCAATTCAAACTATTTCTAATGTTATGTATGTACTAGATTTGAAATCGAATCTGCTTAGTTTGGGACAGCTTCAGGAAAAAGGATATGAAATCCTTATTAAAGATGGAGTTTGCCAAATTCGTGATTCAAAGCTTGGCCTGATTGCAAAGGTCAAGATGACGGGAAATAGGTTGTTTCCATTATACTTGCAGACCACAAATCTGTCATGTTTATCTGCCAGATTAAAGGACACAGCTTGGTTATGGCATTGCTGATTTGGACATCTTTATTTTGGTGGGTTGAAAGCTTTGCAACAGAAGAAGATGGTAAATGGTCTTCCTCATTTTGATTCTCCTTCAAAAATTTGTGAAATCTGCATGGTCAATAAGCAGCACCGTGACAGCTTTCCTAAAGACAGATCTTGGAGAGCAAAGCAGGTGCTAGATCTGGTTCATTCTGATCTGTGTGGACCCATAAATCCAACATCCAATGGAGGTAAACAATACTTTATTACCTTTGTTGATGATTACAGTCGCAAGACATGGGTGTATTTTTTGCAGACCAAGTCAGAAGCCTTAGCAGCCTTTAAAAATTTCAAAGTCTTGGCTGAGAATGAGGTTGGCAGATCTGTAAAGGTTTTGCGGACAGATCGTGGTGGTGAGTTTAATTCAAAGGAATTTGCAAATTTTTGTGAGTCCAATGGCATTAAAAGGCAACTCACAACAGCCTATACACCTCAACAGAATGGTGTATGTGAGAGGAGGAATCGCACAATCATGAATATGGTGCGAAGTCTGACGTCAAAGAGCGGCTTGCCTAAGGAGTTTTGGCCAGAAGATGTTAATTGGAGTGTTCATATCTTGAACAAAAGTCCCACATCTCCACTTCCAGATTTGATGCCAGAAGAGGCTTGGAGTGGACGTAGACCTGCTGTTAATTACTTCAGAATTTTTGGATGCATAGCATATGCACATGTGCCAGATCAGAAAAAGAGTAAGCTTGATGACAAAAGGGAAAAGTGTATTTTCCTTGGTGTAAGTGATCAGTCCAAAGCTTACAGATTATACAATCCTTTAACCAAGAAGGTCATCATTAGCCATGATGTAATGTTTGATGAAGCAAGCACTTGGTCTTGGACAGAAAAATCTGGGCAACAGATTCCTGTAGATTTCGAAAATGGAGAAGATCTGACTATGCAGAACTCAGAAGGTCAAACTTTAGCAGAACTCGAGGTTTCAAGACAGACAAATAAAGAAATTCTACCTACAGAAGTAGAGTTCAGTACTGGAGGAAGTCTGCCAACAACACCAGAACTGAAATCTGGAACTAGTTCCAGACCTCAATGCAAAAAGAGAAGACCAGCATGGTTGGAAGATTATGAGGTAACAGATCTACCGCAAGATGATGTTCCAGTTAATCATTTTGCTTTATTTGTAGATTGTGATCCCTTAACATATGAAGAAGCTGTTAAAGAAGAAAAGTGGCAAAAGGCTATGGCAGAAGAAATTGGTTCTATTGAAAGGAACCAGACTTGGGAGTTGACAAATCTTCCAGAAGGGCACAAAACAATTGGTGTTAAGCGGATCTACAAGAAAAAGCTCAAAGAGAATGGGACGGTTGACAAATTCAAAGCTCGCTTGGTGGCAAAAGGTTACAAGCAAGAGTTTGGCATTGATTATCAAGAAGTTTTTGCTCCAGTTGCAAGGATGGATACCATCAGATTGGTGATTGCATTGGCAACACAAAACTCATGGCCGATCTATCAGCTTGAT